TATTAAATTAATAGAAAAAGAGAAAGATTTTTAATGGATAAGTCACGTGTCCTTCCAAGTCCTAAAAATCTCCCGAATCTTCATTCATCTTCAATCTCCTCATGGATCCGCTTAAAGCTTTACTTATTGAACAGAAGGCACAGTATGAAGAAACCTATTTTGCCTCAAGCAAGGAGTGGATTGATGCTTCTGAGGTTTTCAATTGTAATTATTTTTGTGCTTTTTATTATTCTTGATTGATCTTTTCTTTTTTTGTTTGTTGGGTTAATTTAAAGGTTGAACATAATAAGTTGATTGAATCTGCAAAGAGTGTCTATACACAACTGATGAGTTCAGTTGCTCTATTGTCAACAGATCAGGTAAAATTTCTCTGATATTACTATATGATGTTATTTTGCACTTTTATATCATTGAAAAATCTTACATCTACAACTGATAAGGTCACAAACGCCCTTCATAATGTAAGGGGAATCTCAAGGAGACCCTCAGAGAACTGAGGAGGAGGAGGAGGAGACTCGTGCAAGAAACAGCCAACCGGATACTCAACAAATCGAACAGACAACTGAGCAAGAGCTGCAACTGGACAGACAACCGGATACCGCAGTGTTTTTGATACCCTGGTTTTCATTTGGAAATCACCTGCAAGGATATCTCGTTTGCAGAATGAGCAAGAGCTGAATTTGGTTTAGATAGTTTCTTCTACCTCGACCACTTATAATTTTTGGCTTTTCGTTGTCTTACATGCTGAGGCTGCCTAGTTTAGTAGGGTCCCTGGAAATAGCCAGGTATGAAAAGATGTCTGAGATTAGAAACCATTACAGCATTAAGTGTAGATGATTCCTAATTTGTAGCTTTTTGCTGGTGCTACATATTTGGCTTCAATGTGGAATTGTTTAACTTGTTTCCATTGAGTTCTTGATTTTCCTGTGTTATGATGATATGCACATTTTTTTCTTGTTGGAACTTGAAACCCTCCTGACATCATTTCAATACCATCTGTTATTTCTTTATTGAGCTACCAACGTCCTGAAGTTAAAAAGTAGAAATTATGGTTTCTTTTTAAAGCATGAATTCTGAGTGTGGTGAAAATACCTGCTATAAAATATGTGAAAAGTTGGAATCTGAAGTCTTTTACGTCTCTAACTCACAGGTGAAAGGAGAGCAAATGGCTTGTCAAGTGCTTCTTAAATTACTTATGGCATGAAAAATCTGAAGTGGATGTTCTCTTTGATATTCTCTCCATTTTTTTTGTTCCGTAATTCTACATTATTGAGGTATCTGAGATTTAAAATTTTAGTTACAATCTCCTTCTCACTCCATTATTGTTCAGAATTTTATAAGATTTTAGTATAGTTATATTGTTAAATCTCCTCTTGTTACCAGGCTCCCGAGAAAATCATTCTTCAGGTACCATTACAAGTTTATATGTCAGTGATGTTCACTGATTTTCTTGAAGAGTGAGAAGGAAAAATAAGCGTATTTCATATTAATCTCCTTTTCCCATTGGTAAAACCCTGTAGTCAGAACATGTGTATATGACTGTTTTGTTAGACTTCCATTTAAGCTAATATTTGTTGATACACGTTCCGTGATGCGATTGTTGATAGACAATCTACTATGAAGCTAGATCTGAATGCATATTTCTCTGAATAATGCATGTCTGTCTTATAAATGCATGTTTCTTAGATTCCATGGTACTATGACATGCACTTGGGAAGTTGTCTTCTGTGGCCATACTCCTCCCAAAACAACTTCATCTAATTTTTGAAGTGACACAAATATCTGGAAGTTGCCTATTGGATGTTGGTTTTTGTTGCGCTTCTTAGGACATGCCAGCCGGAGAATAAGATGCTAGTTAAGCAAGCCCTGGATATTCTAATGCCCTATGTTGCATGGAAACGGGAGCGGGTACGCGGAAACGGAATCGTTTAGAAGCGCTGAAGCGATTTTTTAGAAAATTTTACGGAAGCGGTACGCGATGGAAGCGTATAGTATA